TTGGCACGTGTTTTACGTCAGATGCCCTTCCTGACGCAACCCAAATTGGGATATATTAATACATTATAAGTAATTTGTTTAATATAAAAAAGAAAAAAAAATGCTTATTACATTTTTACAATTCAGTTTTTGTATGCATTATACTAGTGTGATTTCAGATGTTACTTAGTGAGCTTTAAAAGTGCTGGTAAGATTTAGCTTTCTGTTTGCTGTTTCCCACTGTTTCAGCCTTTATGCTAAGCTAAGCTAACAGGCTGCTGGCAGAAGATTCATATTTAATGTATAGCCAGACAGTGGTCTGCTTCCATGGGTGTAGAAGAAACCACTGCCAACACCACATATGAAGACATCCTGTGTAACCAGTACATCAACCAAAATTAGGAAAGTATTACACCCTGAGGAGAAAACAGGTCACTTATCCAGACCTTGTATAGAAGGCAGCTTCTAGTAACACGTGCTACAAACTGGAGGGATTTACCAGTTTAAATATGGAGTGGGATATGTAGAAACTAAGCCAATCACATTCAGAAGTAAGTTAATTACCATAAAAGCAAACATTATGATGCTCTAACCTTACACTGTATACAGTATCTCTGATAACAGAACGCTAGAACTCAATTTTGACAAATCAAATAAATACAATGAAAAGAAACTGGATTTAATATAAAAAGCCAAGATTTTTTGTTTAATTTGAAGTGTATACATATATAACTAAATGAAAATAGGGGCAAGTGAAAAGAAACACAAACAAAAGTTGCAGCAACGTCCCTGTTGGCAGTTCTTGAGCTCTCCATGTGTTTTCATGTGGTTCTGAGCACAGTGCAACGTAGTGACAGCTGAAGGTGATTTGCATTCCAGACACCCCGGCTCTGCCCACACCCAAACACACACTCACACATACACACAAGTCAGTCTGTATTATCTCTATAGGAACCATGTGTGAACAGTGAAACACAACCTTCAGGATTCCTTCTCAACCAGCGCACTCTCTCTCCTACCACGTATGTCTATCCACAACCACCTCCCAGAATATGTCACAGCAATTTAAATAAGGAACAAATAGTACTAGTTTGCCCCAAATGCATTAATCATTCAAGAGAAAACCCATTTAATTGATGTTTTGCATTTTAAAACTTTCGTTTACTTAAAACATCTGTACATTGTTCAGCTAAATTCAAATCACTTACTGCTGCTGTGGTTCGTAATGCTGTCCACTTTTGACACAAAACTGGTAGCAGGAGGTGTGTGTGTGTTCACAAACTGTCCTCTCATTTTTAGGAAGAGGCTCTCTGGTTTTATTCTTCTGAAATAATTACAGACTATGTGGAGTTATGAAGGGTGCAAAACTAATCTAGAGGTACCCAAGATTAAACATTAAATGGCTGGAAATGAGCAAGATGAGCATACCATGGGCTCTTTAAAGTCACAAAGCTGTGAACTCTGAGTGGACAATGGCACAAGCTACAACTCGCTGTACTCTGGATAAAAGGATAAATAAAATGCTTAAACCAGGAAGGGCATTCAGGGTGGGGTGAAAGGTCACAGTAGTAATGTTCTCTGTGCTTCTGTCTCTCGTACTCTCTCTCTTTCTGCCCCTGTAGTAAACATATCTCTATATCTTCAGTGTATTCTTCTGAGCTGACAGCAGCCCAACTCAGTCACAAAGAAGTGTAGTGTTTTCAGTGTGTGTATGCGTGAAGGAGAGAGCACATGATAAAAAGAAATAAAGATTGAGAGAGGAAAGACAGGATGGGAACAGGATCACTGATGGTTTACTGGTTTTTCAGCTTGGTTTACTAGGCTAAGGCCTTCACAAAGGGTGTTTTCCAATATGTGGGCACATAAACCACTTTCTCTTATTTCTGCAAACTTTAGACTGTGTGTATATTCCTAACATCCACTAAGAAAGGCTGACTGTGTTTTAATATTTCAGTATTTAAGATGGACAGCAATGTACAAATGCATTCCAAATGTTCAGGATGTATAAATATTAAGTATGAAAATAATTCAACTGGTTAAGTGCACAACACATGCATAACAGCATGTGTATTATGTCTTGCAAGTGTGTTTGGGTTTGAGAGTGGGTTGTCTAAAACACACTCACACACACCACAAACACACACACACACACATGCTGGCATTAGTGTAAAGACCATAATTTGTCCTAAAGACAGACAGACAAAAAAGGGACTGCTGATAATAACCTTTCAAAATAAAAGCCTCTTTGATTGGTGTGTTGCAAGCTCACTAAGAGATCACAAAAATATTCAAGGCTGCATAAGTATAAACCAGTTTTATAACTCAAAATAAACACTTCAATAGTCAACTTTTTCTTTCTTAAACTAAAATGTAAATTGTTTCTATCATTCTGACTATTTCTTATTAACAGGCTACACTTGAAGCATGCACTAGCTCTAAACACATGTAATAAAAGAATTAAAACAGACATATAATGTAATTGTACATGATACAAGGACATTTTGAAGTTTTTATAAATGTACAGTACTTCTCAACAATTATAATTTTGCCAAAGAAGATATATTTTATGTTATTACTACTGTTTTCGTATAATATCAGTCAGCTGTTTATATAGGTGGGCAACCTAAACTTATGGGTTACCATAGGAGGGGTTCACAAATACATCAACAAATGTTTATATCTGTGTTTCAACAAATTATAGTGTTAGATAATAAATAAGGGCCTTAATTAAGATTATCTATGTCTGAATCAATCCCAAGGCTCCAATAGGCTACAAGTGTTTCCATTTTGAAAGCAGTGACCAACTTCCGGTTTAATTTTCTTTGACTTTGGCAACTAAATATAGCTCAAACCTTGGATGGTTTTAATGTTCAGTGTTTGTTTTTCTAAAACATATCGATATAGGTGGATTAAATCTGTGCCTCCTGTCTACATTCTACTGAAATATCCTGATTTTCCCCAACCATTCCTTTCCATCACTGCACTGTTATCAGTGTCTACGCAGACTGTGAGAAGCTATGAAAAGTTGGTTTTCATTGTAGCTGAGAAGTGTATCAAACACCTCTAATATTACAGAGGGTAACTACGTCTCCTTTCTTATAAAAAGGACACCTCCAGTTTGTGCTACCGTAAATCCCACACGATCAGTTTTGAGTCATTGAGTCAAACCCCTCACAAATAGCTCTACATTGGACGTTATATCCGCTGGTGACGGTTATGTTACAAACTCTCGTGGATACATTTTAACATCATGTTTGTTACGTTTCATGACTGAAAACTCACCGGCAGCATTTCTGCTGGTCTGGCACTTTTCCTCCTGTCCCGTTAGAAATACAACTTTCTCCTCCTTCCTTACTCTCCCTCCACTTTTCTTTTAATGCGCTTTTTCGGTCTTTTCCGCTGGTTACTGGTAATTCTCCATACATCCAAACTCTTCTCTTTCTCTAGCTGCAGCCAGATATCCAGATGCACAAAAAACCTACAACTCCAGCTTCTCCCCACTTTCCTCTTCCAATCCCTCCCTCTTCCTTCCTTTCTTTCTTCCTCACTCTGTCACACACACACACACACACACACACTGATTCTCTCTCTCTCTGCTGTTTTACACGCAGAGACGAAACGCTACTTGATGTGAGAAACCACCAGTTGTAGTTTCATTATTAAAATATCAGGGATTTTTGCTCCACAGCGGTCGCTCCTCTGGTTTGGTCTGCAGGGTGAACTGGGTCAACATCCCGATCATCCCCCCCACCTGCCCCCGCACTCCCTCTCCTCCTCCTCTGCCCCCAATAAATAGCCTACAGGTTCAATAAAATAGTTTGGAAAAATAGATGGTGGAACAAGCACCAGTAGAAAAATCACCACTATTTTCCGGACATGTTCATTCATACTATCTTGGGCGAGAGCGCACCCTCTCGGCTGTTACTACACCCTACGTCACATGTGTCAAACTCAAGGCCCGTGGGCCACATCCGGCCCACGAGATCATTTTATATATTTTTTTTTAACGGCCCGGCGATATGAAGCGCCGATAACACACAAACTACAAATCCCATAATGCAGCGCAACAGCTGCCTTACCGAACGATAGGCTACCTGCGATCATTCCCGCATCAATTACATCAGATCAATCAAGCGTCTGTTGATGTATACAACCCTAATTTCAGGTCAAAGCTAGCCCCTAACAATGGCCAAGAGGAAAGTTGATTCTGAAAACAGAGCCTTTCTAAACCGGTGGGAGGCTGAGTATATGTTTACAGAGCAGAAGCTACAGAAGGTAGAGGAGTTGAAGAGGAATCTGACATCACAGCAGACGTTTTCACCAAAGTGAAATCACACAGTGAAGCTGCTGTGAAAGTAAGTTTTATTGGGACAGAGGAGAAAATGAGCCCGGACATTTACCGAGGGAGAGTTTCTGAAGAGCTGCATGATGAAAGTGTGTGACGTCTGGTGTCCAGACAAAAAGCAGGTGTTTGTTAATGTAAGGCTTAGCAGAAATAGGGTTGGTGATTTTAAGTTCAAGTTTATTTATTTTGGAATAATATTGTATCCTGCCTGTTTCGATTCATATTTATGTTCAAAAAATGTTTAGTTTTAGTCTGTAAAATAAATGTTTATCCTGTTTGGCCCGTGACCTGAAGTGTGCTTTGAGTTTTGGCCCCTGTGAGATTGAGTTTGACACCCCTGCCCTAAGAGAACAGCTCCCACTTGAATGTGTGGCTCAACCAGACTTTTAGTGATTTTTGATGATGGTAAAATGGTGATTTTAGTGCCATAGGATTTAATATAAATTGTGATATTTTCTAATTATAATCTCATACAGACTCATCAAACTCACTACTTCTGTTGGATGTGTTACAGGCATATGTAACACTGCAGTTTAACATTTTATGATATTATGATAATTATATTTATATTTACATAATTTTCCTAAGTGTATTATGGAATTGCAATGCTTTCGCCGTGGCAACTGCTGCCAGGTATGCGCATGCGCACAAGCAAGCGTCCTATATAAGCGATCATCGCGATGACGTCACGATGATCGTAGGATCAAAGGAATTCAGAAGTGTACGAGAGGACGAGCTGCCTTACTATCTCATTTACACCGAAACGCTGCTAAAGAATAGAAATAACGAGAGTTTACTGCAAGAAATGGAGAACTCTGAGAAAATTTTGGCAGATCTAGAAGAAATGTCAGAAGATGTGGGTGTTCTAGGCTTGCGGATCACATCCCTGATTGAGTGCCTGACAAAATATCAGGTGTTAAACAGAGAAAAGCGGAGCATGCCCTTTAAGGTTCCCGCTAAAGCTTTGATTGCAGAGTTGGTTTTGGAAATTATACAAATGTTGACACATAAATGGCTGATTGCCAGAATTAACAATAAGGACAGAACCTTTGAACAGCTTCGGACCCGTCTATCTAAAATGCTCACTAGGATTTTTTCTAATTTTATGAATGGCAAGAAGCTAAGCGCATCGCAACAAGTCAGTGTGTCAAACCTTGTACGTCTGATTCATAAAGAAACTAGAAACGTCCTACTGCGTGTACATCCGGACAAGATGAAGGACTCTAAGCCATATTTAATTTGTGCTCTGGTTCGGCCTGATGTATTAAATGAGATGATTTTCCATGTCTCTACTGTGTTAGAGGGGGCATCGGAATTAACATGCAGGCTGTGCAGACCAGACAGTCCCAGGATACACCCATTCATCTACCTGAAAAAGGCTTTCCATGTGAAGAGAACTCAAGCTATTGGGGAAAAACTATGCTTGGGGTTGGGATACATCACAGAAACTCTTTTAAGAGATGTGCCAGACCTCCGGTACAAGCGGCTACACCTGGACTGTTCTCAGAAGATTAAAGCTGTTGCTGAAGACATCTCTCAGCTAACTGCTGAACAGGTTCAGAGTCTGAAAGACTCTGTTGCTGCAGGACAAAGTCCAGAACACCTCCCAGAGTGGCCCACAGTGACTGTGGAAGGCATTGAGGTCAAGACAAGAAACCTCTTTTCAAAGCTGTTTGCCAGAACATTAATATATCGCATCCTGGCTCAGCTGAAGAAAAGCCATCCTGGCTATAAAGCCAAATGCAGTAAGTCAATCCAGTCACTCGTGGATGAGATTGATACTCTGATCTTCATGAAGAAGGGTGAAGAAGATATTCTTATTGTGACCAAAAAATTTGGCTACCATCGATGCCATGAATTTAATCAAGTTGAAATGCAACTTAGTGATGTCTTCTATAAACACATGACAGGTAGAAAAAAGCCACTGAACGTCCCTAAGTCACTTGCTGCCCTATATGGTGACATAGAGAACAAAATGCACTTTTTCCTGACATTGATTGTCTGGTGGATGGACAGTCAGGCCAGCAACCACAGTAAAGAGCTTACATGTGATATAATGCAAGCTGTGGAAAGAGCATCCTTATTCACAGGTGAGCTGTCAGAATCTGAGGACCCTGGAGATGATGAGTCGTCACAATGGCAGGACGCTGTATATGAAATAGTCAATGAGCCGTCAGAATGTGAGGCCCTTGTAGATGTGGCAGGACCCTGTATATGAAATAGTCAATGAGCCGTCAGAATGCGAGGCCCTTGTAGATGGTGAGCCGTCACAATGTGAGGACCCTGTATATGAAATAGTCAATGAGCCGTCAGAATGCGAGGCCCTTGTAGATGGTGAGCCGTCACAATGTGAGGACCCTGTATATACAATAGTCAATGAGCTGTCAGAATGTGAGCACACTGCACATTTAGCCACAGGTGAGACATCAGAATGCAAGAACATGTGTGCTGAACCTGTGGAGGACATCACAGTGCAGGTGGACCAAAAGAAAGCAGCTGTCAGGATTCTTGTGGAGAATCTTCTTAGACGGACAGCCAGAAAGGTAAAAAGGGACGATTTCAGATTCCGAGAAGATCTCATTGAAAACCTGCTGGAACAAATATGGGTGGAAGTCAAGGCCATCGATTTTTCTATGAGCAAAAGAACTTTAAACATCCTCTCCAAAAAAATTTACAAGGACATATATAAGACACAGGGCAGTCCAACAGCTGTACTGGTTGCCATGTTGACAAGGAACACAGAAATTAAAAAAGCCATAGTCTCTTCTATCAGAAAGCACATGACAGCAGCAAAGCCTTGCACCATCTCCACGTTCTTCTCCTCTGTGGGTAGAGCCATCTCCAGATGCTTTACCTTCAAAAAAAGATAACACTGGTGTCATAGTATGCCAATCCCAGATGGCACTGGGAAGATATATCTGCATGTTCTCCCTGTGTCTACGTGGGTTCTCTCCGGGTACTCCGGCTTCATCCCATTGTGAGAAAAGCACATCCAAATGCTTTAGCTACAGAAAAAGATGACACTGGGAAGATATTATTTTGGTGTACAAACATCACCAAAGGGCAGCACAGCAGTGCGGTGGTTAGCGCTGTCGCCTCACAGCAAGAAGGTTCCCGGTTTGAACCTTTCTGTGTGGAGTCTGCATGCATGGGTTCTCTCCGGCTTCCTCCTACAGTCCAAAGACATGCAGCTTAGGGTGCATGTCTTTGGACATGCTTATCAGAGAGAAGAGTAAACTAAATAATAATTAGAATTATAAAAATTAATAGAAAAAAATAAACACAACTTACAATATATATTCTACCTATGAATCATTTTTTCATTTGTGGCTGTCATTGCAAAATGCGGGATGTTTTAAAGGCTTCCTTATTTTATTTGAACATCTTTAGTGAATTAGACAAAACGTTGAATTCAGAGTAAAACAAATGAATATTTGGTAGAGGATATCACTCTGGCTTTGTGTGTATCTAGACCATGTGTGTCGTCCTCTGCCTTACAGGAACTCCTTTCCAGACACTGTGAAAGTGACTGTTGTTATTAGAGCTGTTTATAGATAAACTATCATGCCAGTATGTTTTTATAAAGAAACGAAGATACATTTCACCCAGTTAAACACTTATGTGTTTTTAATAGTTTCTGGACAATACTAAGGCTTTATGGCACAGGGAAACAAGCTGAATCGAGCTCTGAATAAACACAACACTTATTAGACACATTCACTGTTGGGTTTGGTCTTTTCATGGGATTTGTTGACAGTAAAATCACCAGCCTTATCCTTTAATGACTCCATAGGATTCTTGAAATCCACTTTCACTCTTGCAGTTGTTGCCTCTCACTCCGCACAAAAAAATTTACAAGGACATATATAAGACACAGGGCAGTCCAACAGCTGTACTGGTTGCCATGTTGACAAGGAACACAGAAATTAAAAAAGCCATAGTCTCTTCTATCAGAAAGCACATGACAGCAGCAAAGCCTTGCACCATCTCCACGTTCTTCTCCTCTGTGGGTAGAGCCATCTCCAGATGCTTTACCTTCAAAAAAAGATAACACTGGTGTCATAGTATGCCAATCCCAGATGGCACTGGGAAGATATATCTGCATGTTCTCCCTGTGTCTACGTGGGTTCTCTCCGGGTACTCCGGCTTCATCCCATTGTGAGAAAAGCACATCCAAATGCTTTAGCTACAGAAAAAGATGACACTGGGAAGATATTATTTTGGTGTACAAACATCACCAAAGGGCAGCACAGCAGTGCGGTGGTTAGCGCTGTCGCCTCACAGCAAGAAGGTTCCCGGTTTGAACCTTTCTGTGTGGAGTCTGCATGCATGGGTTCTCTCCGGCTTCCTCCTACAGTCCAAAGACATGCAGCTTAGGGTGCATGTCTTTGGACATGCTTATCAGAGAGAAGAGTAAACTAAATAATAATTAGAATTATAAAAATTAATAGAAAAAAATAAACACAACTTACAATATATATTCTACCTATGAATCATTTTTTCATTTGTGGCTGTCATTGCAAAATGCGGGATGTTTTAAAGGCTTCCTTATTTTATTTGAACATCTTTAGTGAATTAGACAAAATGTTGAATTCAGAGTAAAACAAATGAATATTTGGTAGAGGATATCACTCTGGCTTTGTGTGTATATCAAGTTTGATCATTAAACATAAAAGCTTAATTGCGTTATCCAGGTCTTTACTAAAATCAGTTTGTAGAAACGTATACAATTTTATAAGAAGTGAAAGGTAAAATGTGTCTCAGCCCAGAACGATTTGGAAAAGGGATTTTCAAAAAATAAACGAGTTACAGACTCATTTTGAGTTCACAGAGTAGAAACCTCTTTTATAGATAAACTTACTTACCAGGGTGAAATTTGTGAGGTTTTAATGCGACCCTCGTTGATTTAATGCACCTGAAAGTTGGTTTGCTCTCTGCCATTAAATCAATCAATTCATTCATTCGTTTTAAATAATTTTTATTGAAACAATGAGCAAACAGAACAAACCAGGACAAAGGCAGGGAGCACAAGGACAGTATTAAATAAACACAGTGAAGGAGCACGATAGATAAAAATCACAATTCAATAGCATACGTTTCACATAAGTGTAACATTTTACCAGCATTTTTGAGAATGTTATACTTTCTAAGTATGTTTTGATATCGTTTATGAAGGCAGCCATGAGAGGTTTTAAATGATTACATTTACATTTATGAATATAATATTTAGCAAATATAAAAGTTTGTTATGAAGTATTTGTTGTCATCATCCTTCTTGTGCTCAAAAGTCATGAGAACAATGTTTTTAAAAGAAAACTGAGAATTTTACTGTGAATAAAAGCAGGTCTGACCAAAACATTTCAGTGAAGTTATAGGAGCACAACAAGTGCACAACAGTTTCAGGAGCAGAATCACAGGAGGAGCAGCTGGTGTTGATGTGTTTTTTAAACACATCCTTACCTTAAATATATTCATATTTTGGTTTTGGGCTTCTGAAACATAACACATGGTAGCTACTAACACACTACTGTCCCTGCACACTGCACTTTGACAAGGCTGCACAACTGTTATGTACAATTAGGTCCGATGTCGTCGAGTGAAACACCCCTCAAGCTGCTCATGACATCCCAGAACAGAACTGCTACAGAACTACACGCTGGCTGAACAATCAGATCTGGGTCAAACTAGACAGAATCCTCCGTGCTTTGGTCTGGACTGAACTAGAACACACGATACTTGCTAGTTTTCAAACTGTGATTTTATCGCTGCAGACATGATTTCCATGAAGAGTTCTCATGTTTCTCTCTGCTTGATTAAAATCAAGTAGCTATATTCTGCTAGAAAGAATTGTGGGTATTTGAACAGACAACATGGTTTTTGGTAAACATTCATATTAAGCTAATCCCACGTGGCCTCGGTCTTAAAGGATTCTGATGATTTGTTCCAAGCCTGTATTCGTCTTCTGGCCACAGAGCATGCTGCACTTGGACACGTCACGCTCACATTTCATCCAGTTTGGGTGATGTTACAAGATTTCTGCCTCTTTGCTCCATGTACGATCTGATTAACCAGGACTAATGTTAATGCCAAGAGGTCTGAGGATCAACAGAAGTAATGTTCTTACCAAACTTGAGCCCGTGATGATAGTGAGCCTTGAGCTCCGTAAAAAGCTGTGGTTTTCCATCCACATCGAGAGAATGATACAGCCCAAGGACGGGACGGGACTCTTTACTGTCCTCACCCTTAATTCTCTCCTGCACAGACCTCACCACCTTGGCCAAAGTGCGACATACAGACCCCTCTGAACAGCTGGAGAAGAGAAGAAGGCACAGATTAACATTTTGTGTATTCTTCTCTATTGCTGCCCTCCAACGTCTAGAGGTCAAGAGCAGCACAGGGGCTCACAGCGATTCAAGAACAACTCAACAGGCTGAACATACTGTAGTCTTCCTTCAGACGCGCACTCCTTTCTATTAATCTGACTGCATCTGAACGAGTCGGCTTCAGGTCTGAAGAACTCCCTGGTCACTTTTCTGGCAATGTTTCCAGGTCGGACCTAGAAACACCGACTTTCAACACGGCATGAGTCTGAGCTACATGCTGATTAACAGATCGGTACACACATGACGTAGGAATGTGTTCAGGTATAGTGAGCCTGCTACCAACAGTTTGGTCGAGGTCTGCTACTCACAGCTCTGAAAACGCACTAGTGTCCCCTTAAAATGAATCTCCTTTGCACTCACTGTTCGCCTTCTTTGGACAGACTCCATACCTGATCCATCAGGTGGAAGACAGAGTCAAAGTAGGAGGGATAGAACTGCCAATCGTCTGGACTAGAGAGAGAAACACACCAGTCAGGCACTGTAGTCTGAGACCTGGACCTCTTCTCATGCCCATACTCACTTTCTGAGCAGCAAGTTGTGGGCCAGGGCATTGCACTTCGGCCAGTGCCGCAGCCATCGGTAGAGCATCGTTCACCTTTTTTCTCTGGCTCTGCAGGAAGACACATGGATAGAAATGAATATGTATATTTTTGTCCTGCCCATTGATATACACAAGAGGGTCAGAATATTAGGAACACCTCTGAATATAATGTAGTCCAGTACAATGCCGCCTTTAACTATGACCTCAATGATGAACATATAATTGAATTTATACATTTGACAGTCTCAACAAAAACAAATATTTTGAGCTTCATAAATACAAATCTTAAGGCAGAAGTGTTGCATACAGATGGTCATGGGGCAACTGTAGTTCAGTGGGTAGAGCAGTTGCCTGCAGTCCATGTGTCGAAGTGCCCTTGTCGAAGACACTGAACCCCTAAGTTGCCCCCGTTGAAGACACTGAACCCCTAAGTTGCCCCTGATGGTTAGAGCCATCGGTTGAGTTGGCGCTGCAGATGGCTTCCTTGGTTCTGTACAAGGAAACAAATTCCTTGTGTGTAACATACTTGGCCAACAAAGGTGATTATCCTTATCCTTGGAATGACTTCATAAATTGCAGCTGCACTTGGCCTTGTCTCCACCTAGTGGCAGCACCCTCACAATACAGCAGCCTGTGGCTTCTAGTTTTCTTTTTGTGGACAATCTGCAAACCAGTTGGATTTCCTCAGCGGTTTGCAGATTTGCACAATGGGTAAATATTGGGAATTTAATCCTTTAGAATTATTGAATTTATAAAGTTCCTTTACAGATTAAGATGATGAGTCTCTAAGATATAATAATAAAGTTAAACTACTCAAGAGTATATAAAATAGTTACGCAGCTCATCTTCAACCATACAGGTTCAGTGTTACACAGTAATAAGAATATATCCTTATATAACACTGACGGGCCAGTTCCTGTACAATCAAGTAAGAATGATGAAATACCATTTCAAAATAATGACTTAAGTTTTAATATTTCTTGAATGATTTCACAAATTGTTTGTGAAAGTATATACTTTACACAATTTATTCATATGATTATTAATTTCAATGTTTGGGTTTCCATAAAAAGGCTTTAAATTCTCACCTGTAAACCAACACCAAGTGTTTAGGTACTTCCATACTGATACAATAAACCATTACAAAGTATTTAGGTACTTCTATACTGATACAAACCTTTGCTATGAGCTACCCATAATGGCTATAAGTAAGCATCTACAGTAGTTTTCCTTTCAGCAAACAGCAAATGCACCACTGAACACTGGATTAGAACTGTTTACAACAGGAAAGGCTTTTTTAAATTTTTATTATTATTAATTAATGGAAGTTGTCTAATCCCAATGCTTGCTTTACAATTAGAGATGACTATGTCTCACAAAAACAGTGAATGCTTTCTTAAATGGTTGTAATGAAGTTTTCATGTAAACCAGGAATGGAGATTGTTCACCGATGTCTTCCATTTTGTATATACTTTTTAGTTAGAAACGAAGTTCTTTGTTTAAAAGTAATTATTTACTTAACTTAATAGTGATAAATTCAATAAACAAGGTATTATTTCTAACTCTGTATTAAATAATCAGTCTGTGCCTTATTATTACATTTTATAAGCATAAATTCCTCTTATCAGCTTTATTCAGTTAAATCGGTAAATCAGCGTTCTTAGTTCTTGATTTTTATTGTGACTTTTGTACATCAGTGGGGTGAGATGACAACACTTGTGGTGCATTAAGAAATAAAGGTCAGAGTCCTCAATAGAAAGTGCAATCTTGAATTTCCGCAACCAGGGCGTAACATATTCTGTTTAACCACCTAAACAGACGCCGTATCTTGCAGATAATTATCACCCTCAGCCAGACGGGTTTGTCTCCACACCCTGTTGCCTGTTTGCTCTACCTATAAAGATTGTATCTTTTTATTCTTTGTCATTTAAAGACAAAGAATGGCTGAAAGAGAAATAACTGCATGCTTAATAAACCAAAGAAAGACAAATGAGTCTCTTGTTCATTCCTCACCACTTTAATAATTTTGCCAGGGGTTTTTGGTGGATGCTTCATTTGTAGTGCTTGGACAAATGGTGGCTTTTCTTTGTTAACTGTTTCCCCTGACTGGAACTCTTATCCTCCAGGTGTTTCACCTCATCGTTCAATCTGATTCACACAGCCATCCAGAGAAACGTAAAGTGAAATAAATATTACAGTTTGTGTGTGAATGTGTGAGAAAGTCTGTACTACCTGATCAGCCTCTTATTCATTTTATACAGGCTGCACTTGTGTACAGCCATCTCGTGGTTTTGCCTTATCCTTTTTAGGTTCACGATCATGTTGTCAGCCTTTACCCACTGGCGCTCTCTCTCCAGTGCCTGCAGTGGTAGGAACAGGATTTGGAGGCATGCAACACCAAGACTTTGACTGTCAAATTGTGAAACATTTGTTCTACTCTTTGCAATGCATTTAGAATCACTACAACCATCTACTTCAGTTTCTGAGACTGTACTCTGCCCTTTCCATTTAAATCATCTTGATCTTTGTGCAAACCTGAAACTTTGCATTCTGTTCCATTTCACAGATTCTGAGGTGCTCGATAGTCTCCAACATCAGATTGTGAATTGTAGCTTCATACTCGTTCACTGTCTTCTTCCTTTGTGTCAGCCTCTCTAGCTAGAAGTATATTAGATATAATTAGATACAGAGCTATGAATAAGGATGAAGGAAGAATGAAGGTTTGCATGTGTGCTTTTGTTTCAGTTATCTTGACCTCTTTGTCCATAAGTTCCTGCATGCGTTGTTCCCATTCAGTCTTGTCTCTTGCAAGTAAGTCTTCACATTCATGCAGACAAATTTGCTGACAGTAACATAAGTGCAACCATTAGTAAGAACAACAACAATGGCATAAAGAAGATAAAGTTTACGGCCACACTAGCAACATGCTAACAAGATCACAATGAATTGCTAACAAAACAACATTTAATAGACTAATGTTCGCCATCTTGATTGGACATGTTAGCATGCTAACATTTTCTATTTAGCACTAACAAATTAGAACAGAAGCTGATGGAGATGTGATTAGCTTTTCAGGTAGTCGGTCATGAACCAAAGTGTTGGACAAATTAAAAATTTTACATGACAGTGACACTATGTAAAAAGTTAAGGGATCACCTACAATACTGATGGGAACATGAAAGTCTGAGCCAGATTTCACTGTAATCCATTAAATAGTGGTGGAGACATGTCACTCAAACCCACAATTGTCAACCTTATGGTGGCATTAGGGGGAAAAAAATCAGGGGATTACCAAAGTCAGTA